AAATGCAACTAAGGGCTGCATAGACCCAGTTCTGTCGGCTCCAGGGCAGCCTCGGGACGGCGGGCAGTGTTCCCCGTACTGGGCTGTGGCAGGTTCACAGAGAGATGGACTGGAGCTCATCCTTCAGTGCCCATCCCCCCGTGGGGAACAGACAAAGTCAAACGTTGGCTGAAAGGCTGTTACCCGCTTTTTTTCTTTTTAAAGATTTATTTTTAATTAAGAATATTTTGTTAATCCTACCCGGCAAGGATAAGATGACTACCACAATGTTTGAGCCAAATTTGAAACAAGCTTTGCTAAATAATGGCCAGGACAATGGACACTGGCCAGGTCTACACCCAGGATTCCCAGAGCATGGCACCACGTTACATTACCCAGAGGCTTACGAAGGCAAACCCCACAAGGCTACATACTTCCTGCGTTCGTCCAACTGAGGCAGGTATACATCCTGACTACCTGAGATCGCTCACCTACCTGTGGTCAAGCCCATCCTGGGCAGTCGGGGCAACCAAGCTTCTTCGCGGAAGCAAAAGCCACTTGGCTTGTTATCGTTCACAAACCATAGCTCCCAGCAGTCCAGGAAGTTATCTGTCCTTGGGCAAGTGGATTCCAGGTTAGAGGCATTTCTGTTGTATAGGTCTCTCTCTCTGTCGGCTTTTCAAGACAGGGTTTCTCTGAGTAGCCCTGGCTGCCTGCCACTTGCTCTGTAGACCAGGCTGGCCTTGAACTTGGAGATCCACTTGCCTCTGCCTACCAAGTTCTGGGACTTAGCTGGGCGGCGGCGGCACACGCCTTTAATCCTAACACTCCGGAGGCAGAGCCAGGCAGATCTCTGTGAGTTTGAGGCCAGCCTGGGCTACCAAGTGAGTTCCAGGAAAAGGCGCAAAGCTACACACAGAAACCCTGTCTCGAAAAACCAAAAAAAAAAAAGTTCTGGGATTTAAAGTGTGAGCCACCACTGTGGCTCAGATCTCTTAAGCATGGTAATCTAAACTTAAAAATAACTTTAACTATCTAATTTCATATGTCTGGGTCTTTTGCCTACATGTACCACATGCAGGCTAGAGGAGGAATGTTGAATCCCCTTGGGACTGAAGTTACAGAGGATTCTGAGCTACCACTGAGGTGCTGGGAGTCAAACCCAGGTCCTTCAGAAGAGCAGCTGGTGCTCTTAACCACAGAACCATCCCTTCCAGTCTTTATTTTAAAATAAAATCACAAATGTGTGTGTGTGTGCACGCATGTGCATGTACATGCAGGTGTCTAAGGCTAGAGGCGTTGGATCCCCCTGGAGCCAGAGTTACATGTGACTGTGAGCTGCCTGTCATGGGTACTGGGGACAGAACTCCAGGCCTTTGGACGGGCAGCAAGCTATCTTCACTGTTAAGTCATTTTTCCAGCCCAGTCTCACACTTATAGATCAGAAACTGTGGTTTGGGGGTTTCGCTAATGTAGCCAAACTTAAGCCTAACTTCTGTGAGTTGGCACTGCGCTACATGTGGTACTTTCAACGTTCCAAACATCCCTATGGGTTAGTTGATATGCCCAGTTTAGAGGAGAGACTGAGGCTTAAGATGGATGTAGACATCTGCTCAAGACTACAGAGCTAGTGAACTGGGTTCTTATAGTCATCCGGCCTGCCTGAATCCTGATTGTGTAAGGCGATGAGTGTGTGATATTTCTTACCACCTGTAACACTGTTACCTTCCTAGCAGGGAGGTCCAAAGACAGCAAGCTTGAGGCCTAGGTTAGAAAAGAGACCCCATTTCAGGGTTTCTTGGTTTTAGCTGGGGGTTGGCTCTAGGACCCCCTGGGTATCCAGGTCTTTGGGTACTCACGTCTCTTCTGTGGAATGGATATACTTACTCTATACACACCTCTATGCTTTAAAGCATCTCTACACGACTTCTGGTACTTCGTATAGTCAATGTTTCCATAGTTATTACCTCATAGTGCTTAAGAATAATTTTTCCTGGTTGAATTTAAAGATGTGGAACCTGAATGTTTGGAAGATGGACTCCAATGTTTGGAAGATTGTCTTTTCGAGAAAAGTACTTAACTCAAAGTACCAAGGCTTCTACAGGCCCCACTGCCTCCCTCTCCTGTGGAGGATACCATCTGGGCAAATGTTAGTTAATGCCATGTGGCAGCTATTCTATTAAGCAGTGCTGTAGAAATTATCCATCCTTGCCTTTAATCCTAGCACTCAGGAGGCAGAGGCAGGCAGACCTCTTGAGTTCCAGGAAGCCAGGGCTACACCGAGAAACCCTATCTTCAAACAAACAAACAAACAAAACAACAGCAAAAAAAGAAATTATCCACCTTCAAATGCATTATCATTTCAGTAACATAGATAGGAAACTGAGGTAGGAAAGTAACCTATTCTAGGCCACAATTTGGATAGGGCTTGACTGGCAGCCTGGTTCCAATATTTGCATCTTTAACCACAGACAAACCCATTCTTGAGCAGCCTTGGGGTCGGATTCTGTACTCATATCCATTCAAATGCACACATCACAGCCCTTTCCAAGATGGAAGCTTATGACACAGCCATCAGCTTCAATTAATTAATTCTTAATTAATTTGTAATTAATTAATTAGAGAATTAATTCTTCACTGAGAAGCCCAGGCAGGGACTGGCTCAGATAAAGCTGGTTTTTGCAACTTCTTTTGGAAAGAAGAAACCCCAAATCTGACTGAAAACACTTGCTGTAACACTGTCATGAAACCTGGTGCACAAGTCACTTTGAATTCTCCCTGGGTACAGGAGGCTCTCCTGTGTCTATGAGCATACCCTGCTCACCAGAAGTTCAGGAAATACCAGCCAACCTGGGCTCTCAAGAATGTGTAGCAATTGGTCAAAGGAAGGGAGAGTGCATGCGTCTGGGTGTTGTGTGACCTTTTGAGGGGAGAGGCAATACATGTCTACTCACCCCAGGTCGGGATCTCACGACAGGCCAAATTACAGATACCACCCAAGTCCAACTTGGTGAACCAATGGATTTTATTGGGGTTACTTACAGGAGCAGAAATAACTCAGACAAGCACATCACCAAAGCCCACCCTAGTGTGAGTGACAGCTCATAAAGCTGGGAACCTGGAGTACACCATGGCACAGCCCGCAGGAAGCGCCACAACTCCGAATGTTCTTTCCAAGTGACTCAGTTGGCCTAAATCATTTCTAGGTGGCTCAGCTGGTTTCGGCCTTTTAGGAGGCTGGTCTGGTCTCATCTCACAGTCTTTACAACTTGGTTCATCTGAGAGATCCTCAGCTATTACTACTTACTACATCAGGGAGGACTTATTGAATCTGGTCAGTTTCAGGGACTTCCTGAAGCCATTTTTTGTTTTGTTTTTTGAGACATGGTTTCTTTGTGTAGTTTTGGTGCCTGTCCTGGATCTTGAGCTGTAGACCAGGCTGGCCTCACAGAGATCTGCCTGGCTCTGCCTCTCGAGTGCTGGGATTAAAGGCATGCATGTGCCACCACTGCCCGGCCTCCTGAAGCCATTTTGAGTTGTTTTCCTTTCTGCTTAAGAAGCAGAACTGCTCTGAGGGAACTTCCACAGTACTGGGCAAAGAGAAGAGGCCAGAACCGAGAGGCTGAGATCTTCCTGTTTAGAACAATCATTCTGTAAAGTGGAGACTGATTTGAGGAGGTAAGGGCGGATGGATTTCAGGTGGATGCCTTTGATGAGGGTCAGGTGAGAGGATGGGAGGCCGGATGGGTTTGGGAGGTGGAGGATACTGAAGGAAAAGGCATCAGTGGCCTTATCATTTTGAAATAGTTCTATCTGTAGTCAGGCTGGTCTTCAATTCGTTATTGTCCCACTTCATCCTCCTCAACCAGCCAGCCACACCGCACACGACTTCAAGGCTGGTACACAGTACAAGATACTCCTGGGCTCTGCTTTTCCCACTCCCTGGGCAGGCTGGCTTAGCTCTAAAGTGAGGGGAAGGCCCTGGCCTGGATTAGGGAAGCGGATTTTGCTAGTAGCTCTAACGCAGGTGAGTCTGTTTAGGGCTCACAACACCTTGAGACAGGCAACCTGCAACACCTGCTGGGATTTTAGAGAGATCTGAAGCATGTGCAGACCTGGTCAGAGTCACCCAATACTATCTGAAGCATGTGCAGACCTGGTCAGAGTCATCCAATACTATCTGAGGCATGTGCAGACCTGGTCAGAGTCACTGTACAATGTCCAGGTGAACGGGAAGCCCAACGAGTCCTGGACTGTCCAATACTTGCCTAAGACCACAGTGCCTACTTGGTCTAGTGTACGACATCCTCCGGCTCCTGTGGGTGGGAATGCGTTGGGATTTTCTCTCACCTAAGTAAGTTCCCGTTTCTCCCTAGAGCCAGCCAAACTAGACCACGTGTCGCAGGTAAAAGGTTTTTGGCTCTTCGCCTCCCCCATTCTCCCTCCCCCCTTCCTCTTTGCCTTAGGTAGCAGGAAAATCCTTTACCTCCGACCAATCCCACGGCCGCCGAGCCGCGCGCGCGCGCCAACCCCAGCTCATTCGTGCACGTCATTGGCCACCTCCACCTATGCACGGTGACAGGCAGCCTCACGGACCTATTGGAGGAGGAGGCGGAGGCCAGCCGGCCCTCCCGAAGCTGCTTTGTTAAGGGCTCCCTCGCTGGGGCCCGTGCAGGCACGCTTCGCCATCCTTGGCGCGGTTTCTCCGGGCTGCACCGCCAGGGCCTCGTGTCCAGGCATCTGGGAGCGTGCCACGCCAGCATCCCTCCGGCCACAGGGTCCAGCCGGGGCCGGAGGCCGCTCAGGTATCCAGCGTGCGCCTGTTGTCACTCTCCAGCCCAACTCCGAACGCCCCGCTCCTGGGTTCTCCGCCTCCGATTGGCTGGCCGGAGGCGGAGCGATTGTCCGCGGCTCCAATCGGAGTTCGGTTTCCCACGGGCTCCCGAGGCCCCGCCCCCGAGGCCGGCGGCCCAGGAGCCCTGACAGTTCCCATTGGCAGACCGAGAGCGGGCCGAAGGGCTGAGCAGCGCCGCTGCCGTCGGGCGCGCAGCTCTGCAGCGCGGCGAACGCTTCGGCGCCCGCACCCCCAGGGGCCCAGCGGCCCCGCATTGTGCCGGGCCGGGTCATCGAGATCCTGGATGAACGTCACCGGTGAGTACCGCGGGCCTAAGGGGGGCGGGCCGGCTGGCCAGAGGCTCCACGAGGGATGGCGATGAGAAAGAATGCTTGGAGCCGCGGTGCCCGTGGCGGGCACGTCCTGACTCCCATCTCTCGCATACTGGGGCTCCCGGTGGGTCCTAGCTCCCCCAGATCGGGCTTTGCTTGTATTGTTTTCGTGTGCACACACTTGGGAGGTGTGGTGATCTGGGGAGGGAAGGCACACCTCTATCGTGCAAAGGAGCGTCCGGGAACCAGGCGAGACAGCGGAGCCCGGGAGCTGGCGCCGAATGCAAGTGACAGCGTCCAGACGTTGGCATTCGATCTTCCTGGCAGCAGGAGGTCAGCGTTGACCTGCGGCGGCCTCGTCTCTATGTATTTATCGGCTGATTTTTAATCAACTTCGGGGAGGGCGTGCGTGTGTGTGTCTGGGTCTATCTCTGTGTGTGTGTGTGTCTAGGTCCCCGACTTGGGCACTTATGGGCCTGGCCCTTCGCCAACGCTGCCGGGTGTTCACCTTGGCCATCCGTGCTGCGCTCCGGGTCGGGCACACCGCGGGAGAGCCATGGGGGCGGGCACACAGGGTGAAGGACCTGCGGTGGGCTAGGGAGGGGGCATTTAAAGCAGCATCCTACGTGTGGGCAGACAATGACTGGTCCAGGTGGTGGGGCTGTGCTTTGCGTCCGCTCTTCGGACCCCATCCGGGTCTGGCCCTCTCCTCCGGCTCTGCTTCTCCGATGCCTGTGCACCGAGAGGCTGGCCACCCGACTGGGGACCCGCGTGGGGCCGGCTTTTGTTTACAGACCTCGCCATTGGACGAGAGGTACGCTCTCAAGGTAGGGCCATTGCCGCTTGCCCACTACGAGTCAGAAGTTGATGTGTGTCTTCAGGTGACGCCTCCTCCCCGGGTCTCAGGCCCGAAGCTTCAGGGAAAAGACCCGACTCTGCTCCTTCGCACCAGCCCCGCCCCGCCCGGCTCACTCAGATCTGCACCTAGGGGCGCTGATGTCTTTGGCCCAGCTGGGTCAAGATGGGCTGTCCAGGCGCCGCGGACCTCGCCACGCACATCCCTTTCTAGTCGCATCCTCTGGCCATCCTCCAGGGTCAGATAGACTTAGAATCTAATCAGTCTTTTTCCTGCCTGGTGGCTGACAGGTTTTGAAGGACGCGCGGGGAGCCCTTGGGAACACCGCAATCCTTGTCTGCTTCCGTGGTACCCATGCAGTCCCGTGCAGCAGCTGGGCGGCATCCAGGTGTCGGAGCGTCTGGGTTCGGGTGTCCGTTCGGTGCACGCTGACTTGGCGTACGCTTTGAAAGCTGCAGCAGAGGTTGAGAGGTCTGAGGTCATAAGCGTCGGGGCTTCCAGTTCCGGCTGATGATCAGTTTACCAACTGGGTGATTTCCTGGCAGAGCTACTTAATCTTAGAGCCTCAGTTTGTGCGTCTGTACAGTGGAGATGCGGTTCCTTTTGAGGGCGGGTGGTGGTGATGAGATGAGGATGTCAATGAACTGCATGATACAGAGACAACCACACGGGGAACATGGAAGTTATGTGGCGTGTTTGTTAGGGGAGATCTGTTCCACACAGAGAGTAGCTCCCTCTCTCCTTCCATTTTGTGGATTCTCCTCTCTCCCATTGCATTATACGAGGCACGGGGACTCCTCTTTTCAAATCCGACAGGACTTGTTTTTAACTTGGTCTTCGATTTAATTATTCTTATCTAATCTCACGCACGCTCGGTGCCTTTTTATGTGTGTGAATTTGCACTGCGTCCGAGTTGTTTCTTCTTGCTGCTTCTTTAAGGCTGGAAAAAGCCATCCAGGTGGGAAACCTTTGCTGTTGAACTAATAGCAGTTTACTAAGCAGTTGAGTGCTGGGAACTAGAGGGCCTGTTGAACAAAGGGCTGTCTGGAGAGAGGAAGGAGCACTTCCTAGTAGAGGTGAAATTGAAATTACGTCTTGTAGCTGTAAAAGTTTGGAACACCACTAGCTTCTAGAAAAGGCTCTTGTACAGAGCTGCAAGGATTGGAGACTGAGTGGTAAACACTGAAGTTGCTAAGTGATTATCTTTGAATGGAGGGGAGTAAAGGCAGGGGGTGGGGTGGGGTGCTGTCTAAGCAGGGGAGGTGGAAGGGGAGAATTATTTCACTGAATATCTCCAAGGCTGTCACTGTGTTTTGACTTGGGTTTCCTGTTCTCCTGGCCTTTCACCAGTGATTTTACTCTAGGCAAACATGAGAAGCCAGTTTCATGTTGAAAAAAAAATGCAAATCAAAGAGCAAGTCATAATCACACAGTTAAAAAAAAAAATCCCAGGACTCTTGGCAGACTACGGTATCACTGAAGAAATGCTTCTTTGGTGCAAGTTATCGAGTGAGGTGCCACATTGTATCCTTTGAATGTAGACCCCAGAGGCCTCTGCTAGCCCAAAGCCAGCAAGCAAACAAAAACCAGGCCAGAGACTTGCAGTCTGCCCAAAGGTTGCAGGAGTTCCTACCCATAATTGTACACCACCACCCCCCATCCCCCTCTGCCGCCCCAACCCCGATGTCCAATTTCCTGGTCCCGTGTCTGTCAACCTAAATGGAGAATGGCTGCCCCCAGCCCCCATGTGCCACTGAAGTGAACAGAGCGGTAGCATTATTACTAGACACCTATTAGTCAACGTGATAACCTGCTTAAAGTTCTACTCCCTACAAGAATTCCAGCCCATTCTGAACTCTCCTGAGAATTCCGTAGCTCTCTGGGATGAAGAAGCCCTCTACCCCAGCCCCCTGCTGTGGTTCAGGGATCGAATCAGTTGGGGGTCCAAACTTAAAAGGGGAGCCAGGTTAGGAAATCTCATTAGCTGACAGTTTAACTACACACCAATGCTCCTCCAAAGCCCTAGGGCAAAGACTTCTCCTGGCCCTCTGCATTCTCCCCGCTCCCCCCCCCCTCCCAGCTTCATCTAAGCCAAGCGGAAAAGTTGGGTAGGTCCTAACTTCTCACCCCCAAATTTCTGAGGTTGGTGAGAACCCTAAACTTTCTGGATGCCTAGACAGACAGACAGACACACAGACACACAGACACACACACACAGTTTCTTTTCTAAAACGAGGGAACAGGTACAGGGTATATGGTGTTTTTGCCTTTTTGTTTTTTTGTGGTTTTATTCATTGTCAATAAAAGATCCATAAAATTGAATCTACAAGGCCACCACGGCTGTCTTTTTCTCCCATCCTAATTACCTTCTCTCTGTCAGCATGCTATTTTATGTAACTCTGTGCCACAGGAGAAAAAAGGGCCTTTTAGCATCATAGTAGGCCACATCACTTACTTGAGAATATTAAAGAAAAATAAAAGAGGCACTCAGAAATTAAACGGTCCCCAGCAAAGAGCAGACCAAGAAGGGAAGCAGTGTTCCAGTGTACACGTGTACAAGACATTGATAGTTAGGCACAGCTTCCCGCCCTGTACCCTTCCCAACCTCTGGCACCTTCTTCCACACCCGTCTAGCATAAGACTTTCTCTGTTCCCTTGGTCTTCAGGGACCTCATTAAGCAATTCACAAGGGCCTGGGCTGCAAGTATGGGCAGTGGGAGAGATTCCTCCAGGGCTGGTAGATCCTTCTAGAAGTCCTCACAGGTCTTTTGTTAGCTAGAGAAGTTCCTCTCCCAGTTGCCCAGAGATCATGCACTCGGATGCAAGGCAGCGGAGTAGAGGGCTCCCTGGCAGACAGTGTAGACGTTGAGCGCTAGGAATCGGGTACCGTGCTGGCAGCGCATGAGAAGGTGGGTTACCGGAGCAGATGCGTTGTCTGCGTTTGGAGGAGGTTAAACAAAGGGGTTGGTGATTCATGGAGACGTGGTGGGAGGTTCTGGCAGCTGAGCAGATCCTTCGCTTCAGAGTAGGCCAAGGTCTTTTGGGGCTGGGTCCCGCCACAAACCTTTCTTTCTATAAAGTGGGACAGTTTGAGGTGGGAGGCGTGGCGGGTATCGCAACATTTTTGAAACCTAGGAAAACTGAAGTATGATATGAAAAGTGCCTGGTGTTTTCTGCTGGGGACATTTTAAGTTGGGAAGTAGAAATAAAAGGGGGGGGGGATGTTTAAACAAAACAAAACAAAACAAAACGAAATACTTCCTCCAAACAACCACCATTTACTTGTTCCGTTTTCTGCCAGCATGGAGCATGGCGTTATTGAGGACAGGGACTGGTGGTGTTCCTTTATCTACAGTTTTGCTTCCCACAGTTTCAATTACTCTCTGCTAATTATGGTCCCAAAACATGGAGTATCAGATTCTAGAAACTGTGTAAAGCTATTACTGTTATTAAGTTATTGCTGTTATTAGTATTTTGAGATGTGCTTTTGCAGCGTGCCAGGCTGCCTTTGAACCCATTCATTCTCTCACCATGCTCCTGCCTCAGCCTCCCGAATGCTGGGGTTTCAGGTATGTACTGTCAGACCTGGGCAAAGTCTCAGGTTTTAACTAACCTTCGTTAAAGTATGCGGTTGTGGTTATTCTATCTGTTTATTGGAGTGCTTGGGTTCTAACCCAAGGCCTTGCATACACTGAGTTCTACCATTCAGCCATACCCCTGGGCGAACTACATGAGTTACACTGTGGTTTCTCCCTGCCCTTTCTCTGAGTCAGGATCTCACTCTGAAGCCCCAGCTGTCCTGGAATTCACTCTGTAGACTACGTTGGACTCAAACTCACAGAGATCTGTCTGTCTCTGCCTTCTGAGTGCTGGGATGAAAGGCGAGCATTGGCTGGGTGTGTGGCGGTGCACACCTTTGATGTCAGCACAATCTATTGTGAATTTCCTACTGTGTCTGTTTACAGTTAAATTTAGCATTGGTCTGCAGATGTTGGAACAGACATTGTGTGTGGTGTGTGTCTGTGTGTGGGATGTGTGGTGTGTATGTGTGTTATGTGTATGGAGTGTGTGGTGGTGTGTGTGTGATTTGTGGTGTGTGTGTGATTTGTGGTGTGTGTGTGATTTGTGG